GGGGTCATGCCGACGCGACGCGTCGCCCCTCTCAGAATATCTCACATTACATAGAAACGGAACGTATTCGTGGGCGAGCGGATTTGCGCGCGCCCACCCGCAGACTCGGCGGCCTGACTGAGCACTGGGCACGACCGCCAGAAGAGGCCGTTGGAGAGGAAAACGATCATTTTCCTTTAAAAAAAAAAAGGAAAGCACCACAGTTTACTGCGTTCGCCCTCTGAAAGTTTCCGACCACACTGAAAAATAATTCATACGTCACATTTTTGGAACGCCTGTCCAGCAAGAAAAACTATGTGTAAAGCTGCAATTGGAAAAAAGAAAAAAAAGTGAAAATAGATGCAATGCAGCCTAGAACAGTAGCAGCAGCGCTGTTTGTTTTGAGTGCACCCGCAGGTGAGCGAATCTATCTACACTGTTATTGATGTGCGACGACGTCAAAGTTGCAGGTAGGTGAGCGAAAGACCACGGACATTATACTGTGAAATAATTCGCTCGCTCAGGTGAGGGTGCTAGACACTCGTATACTTGTTTACCGCCGGCGTACCTGTAGCCGTGCGATGGCCCGGGGCCGATGTAGCCCGCGTTGTGCAGCCAGCGGCGAGGCTCCTCCAGAGGGTGGTCCAGGAGCGCATCTACTTCCAGCGCGTCCTCCAGGGAGGCGGTGGACGAGCTGAGCGGCGAGTCGTCATCTTCCTGGTTCTCCGGGCCGAGGGGCTTCTTGACGGACTGCAGCAGCAGCGCCGTGTACTGCGTGATGAGCATGGCGCCCGGACGCCGCACATGCCGCCGCGCCGTCACGCCCACGTCACACCAGTCACACTCGCACCCACTTCTTCCGTCTCATTCTCTGGCACGAGTCCTTGTGATGATCGTAAACGCGGTGTTTAGCGTCGCTCCCTGCAATAAAACGTGTTTGATCTCTTTCGGGGCAGAGGGCCGCAGTCCCGCGGGACGCACCCGTGCGCCGGGTTGCCTATCCCCGGACCCGCGGGCTGACCGCTGCAGGCGCGACTGCAGGCGCGACTGCAGGCAACCCGCCCTCCTCCCCGCCACGCGCAAGCGACCCACTACCCCCCTACTTTACCCGTTACCCGTCCCCCTCCCTCCCCCGCCTCTGACCTGCCAGATTGCACAATTCCTAAAGATAACGGGCCCACTGTAGTCACCGCGCGGCCGCCTGTGAACGCCTGATAAAGGTATCCTGGAATGCGTTATCACTGCGGCTTATCTCCGCCGGGTAATCATTCCAGGGCACGACTCATAGCGGCCCGGCGGGCCGTGCGGGGGCTCGGTCGCCTCGGCATACACTGTTAAGAAATTGCTGTAAATTTACAACACATGTTGTTGAAAAACAAAAATTAGGTAATCCAGCAACATTCACAAAATTTTCTGAAACAAATTCTACTTCAAAACAGTGGTTATTTACGTCCACCCATCAAAAATTTGTAATAACATAAACTTGTTTGTTCTGCAACGATATATCTTGCTATCAAACTTTGCAACGGTTTTTTTGTAGTATTAGAACATGGTGTAATGTAGGAATAATTGTTAAGGACCACTACGAGCAAAATAGATTAAGTTTTGTCACATGCCAATGAAAACGAATGGTGGTGGTTTTTTTTAACAAACTAGACTTGTGTGATAATTTGACAACTTTTTTGTAAAAGTGTACAGCCCAATGACATTTCCTGTGCTAATCCCATCATATCAAAACTAAGTTTGACACATATATTTTTCGGAACAGTTTCAAATCGCCCTCGCCCTTGCCTCATTTCTACTTTACTCGCCGAAGGGCACGCTGCTGGTTGAGCAGGCCTCCCTGCCGGCCGGCCCTGTGTGTCCGCTCGGCCTCAAACATGTTTACTTCGCTGGAGAGCCGTCTAATGGTCCTATTAAAGGCCCCCATGCTGCCGGCCCTCGCGGCCAGTGCACCGCGACACACCACGGACCAGCCAGCGCCGACTGCCGAGCGCGTCTCCCGCATCCCGGCAAGAGATGACACGCCAGAAACTGAAATCTATCGCGGGGGCACGGCGCGGGGTCAGCTACACTCCTAGACAGCCCCTGGCGGTCTCTCTAAACAAGTGCCCCCCCCCCTCCCCCAACAGACATACACACGAGCGCACATAGGCAAGGCTGCGCTGCGACGTTTCAATACTGACAGCAGGTTACTGGCAGGGTCAATAATGACATCCAACAACCAAATCAATAAATAAAAAAATAAATGAAAATGCACGAGACAAAGCGGAGTCGTTGCCACTGTCAAGGCAGATTAATATCGCCCATTTCGCATCATGCAAAGTTTGTTGTCCCTCTCTCTCTTTCTCTCTCTCTCACACGCACGCCCCCTCCCTGGTGGCGAGGAGGGGTCCGCCGGCCGGTTTTGCAGTATTTGCAGAGTCAATTAATTAATAGGAGGCCCGCTGTCGCCGACACGTCGCCGACACGTCGCCGACACGTCCGGCGGCCCATTACGCGTGTCCGCCTTAATGGATGCAACGTAATTGCTCAACAGGCACCGGCAGCCCGGCCACCGCCACGCTGCTGCTGCTGCTGCTGCCGCTGCCGCTGCCGCTGCTGCTGCTGCTGCTGCTGCTGCTGCTGCTGCTGCTGCACCGTTTGTTTTTTTCTCCCTCTGGTCGCGGCGACTTAAGTCCAGTCAGCTTTTTGCGCCCACCCCCTTTCCCCCCTCTCTCCACCAGCCTTTTTCAGTTCCATTGATGTAACTGGCGAAGTGACAGCCTCCTGTCTGGGGACAAAACATCGCGCTCCTAGACCAGGGTGTAGAGCGGGTGAGTCATCCACAGCCAGGCGAATCCTTCCGCGAGCGAGAGGCGTCTGTGTTTGTGTGTGTCTGTCTGTGTGTGTGTGTGTGTGTTTGTGTGTGTGTGTATGTGTGTGTATCCTGGTATGTGCCGTACTCCCTGCCGGCGTAAGGTCGGGGCGCCATGTACGGAACGGCGACCAGGCCGGAGCGGAGCGGGAAGCGTGACTCATGGCAGTGTACTCGCGCAGAGCGCCACACAGACACAGACAAACACACACACACAGCGCAGTGTCACGGCGGCCCAAATTTTATTATTCTCCCCTATAAAATAATGCCAGGGTCCACACTCGTCACGACCTCCCACCCCAGCCGGTAATCTGCATGTCATCAGGGAGATGATGGTGACAGGCCGTCTCTCTGCCCCGGCGCGGCGAGCCGCCCGGCTCCCGGCTGCAATACTATAATCGCAGTCATTAAGGGGTCCGGTCCAGCGGGACAGCGGCTCTCTTGCACAGCGCGGGGGCGTGCGGCTCGGCGGACAGCGAGTGGACAGCGAGTGGACAGCGAGTGGAGTGGACAGCGCCGGCCGGCGCCCCGAGGGTTGCCATGGCGACCGGGCGGCCCGATAAGCGGGCACCTCTCAGGTGGTCCCGCCAGTCACAACACGACGGGCGGGAAATAACAGACCTCCCGGGGGTACTGCCAAAAGCTTCCAAGAGCGTGCCTTTCCAGGGAGGGGCGCAATTTCACGCAAAACAAACACACTTCTACAACTACTCAAAGTAACAATACAAGTTATGAATGACGAAATATAATTGATTATTTTTGTCCTCTAACTGCGCGACACACTTGAAAGTTTTACGCCTGGTACAAACATTTAAAACATTGTGGCTTTCTTCAGGCACTTGCACATAGATGTCACTCGTGAAATATATTTAAAATGAAAAACTGTTCTACTCGTGCACTTTGCAGATTGCTCTTGTATATGATCCTTCCACAGGCGGTGGAGACTCGATCCTCTTCGGCCCGCCGGGACCAGGTTAATCCAGATGCGTCGCACTCACTTGTTGCACTCTGCACCGCGCGGGCAGCGGGCTCGACGCGACGTGCAACCAACGACAACAGGCACAATAACGAGGGACGAATCACGATCGCGCGGCGACCACTCGGCTCGGCCGTAAGGAGGGGACTGCCTCGGCGCGCCGCCCGGCCCGGCCCGGCCCGCCTCAGCCATCCGCGGCGCGAGCCGAGCAGCCGCGCCCGCCGCCGCCACCGACACTCGACGAGCTGCAGCGCGGCCGCCCGCCAGGACGCCCGCCAGGACCGCCAGGACGCCGCACGAGATACGCGCCAAACCCTCGCGTCTTCAGCGACAGACGGAGGAAGTAGCGTGTCTCAGAGACATGCGCACCCGGGGGGATAAGAAGGGGCGCGGCCGGCTAAGATCAGGGCCGACGGCGGATATTTTACTTCCGACCGAATAACACGATCTCGTGTGAAGCGAAAAAGGGTCTCTCTTGGGCTTTTGGCACCGACCTCGAGAGGAGGCGAAGAGCGGGGGAAGAGTAGGGGGAGAGGGGGAGGGGGTACAGTGCCGCGCCAATCTGAGCCAATTGGTCCAATCAGAGGCCCGATGCAGGCCATGTGAAGGGGCGCCACACCATGCCAAAGCCGTCCAGAGCCCTTCGTGCGTGCCCCCCCCCCCCCACGGGCCCTCTGGTGTCAGGGTTGCACATAAATATTGTGCTGCGGAGATGCGCTCGCAGACTGAGCCGTAACCTCGGCCGTAACTCAGATCAGCGCGAGGGACAAAAACCGAGTATTGGCAAATACAAATCTCTCCACCTCGAAACGCAACAATATATGCGTGTAATAATAATTTAAAGAATCAAATAACTACGAAATCTGAGTTTTCGTCATTAGGAATTGTTGATGTAGAAATAAAAAATGAGATCTGTGTTTAGGTTCGAGTTCAGTTTAGTTATTTTTGTGTTTTTTTAAAGCGGATTTTCATCAGTGAGATAATGCCGCCGATAATCCCACTCGGGATGGCTCGACGGCGGCGCACCCTATCATGTGATACATTCAGCGGGCTGCCAAGAACGCAGTTCTTTCCCGCAGGTTGTGTTCGACTGATCCCACAAGAAGTTTCCCTCCCCGCCCAGGCCCGGGCGCGCCCCCTCCTGAGCGATGCGACTTGGCGCGCGGTTTGGCGCTGCGGCCGCCCCCGCCGCGCCACGGCCGCTTATGTTTATGGCGCTCGAATCGCGAAACCGAAACGAACGGACGGAACCGTGGCGAGGTGGCCGTCGGGGTAGGCAGGTCGGGCAGGCCTAGAAGGGCGCCCGAAAGGCTCGGCGGCGCTGGGCGGCGCTGGGCGGCGGGAAGAGGCGGGCCGCCCGCCCCGATGCTGCCAACTCTTGCCAGATAAATTCCCACCGCAAAGTGGCGCCTAGTGTGGCGCCCGGCTCGCGCCCCAGACCGGCACGATCGACTGCCTCGCCGCGCC